CTCTTAGCCTGACCTTGTACCTCTGCTTAGGTAACGTCGGATCACCTTTATATATCAATACATTACCACAGTTCGCCTAGAAGAATACCTCTCGTTTGATCTCGTTTGATGCCATGCCACGCGCACTGCTATTCCCACACCCGCAAACTCATCGAACGTTGCATTTGATTCACATACAACAGGAAGCATACTGACACAGGAGATACATCAGAGGCAAGCGGCAACCCCGGCCAGTGAGGCGCAACAAGTCCGAATCCACACACAAACATCCTATATCCCAAAATGCACGAACGGCGCCCAGCGCGCGAACTGCTCATCCCCGACCTTCTTCCTCAACTTCTTCGTGGCCTCGTGCAGCGCGTATGCCGCGCCCGTCTCTCCCTTCCCGAGCGTCCCCGACGCGCGAAGCTTGAGTAGCTTCCGATAGTACGCCTTGACGACGACTGGCGCGTCCTTATCCCCGATCGACCACATCGTGGCGACCACGCCTTTGTATCCCACCGCCAGCATGCCCGCTGCGAGATGCATCGACTCCTCGGGAATCTTCTCGTCGCCGACGGCGGTCTGGCACGCGGATAGGAACGCGAGCTCTGCGTTGTCCGCTCTGGTGTTCATGAGGTCGAGGAGTGTGAGTGAACCGTTGTGAAGTGCGAATGCGCTCTGCAGAGGGTCTTCGGTGTTCTGGGTACCGTGACAAGCCAGGTGCAACCAGGTGTGTTCGCTCAAGGCAGTGCATAAGGCGGCCTTCGACACTTTATCCCCTGTGAAGAGGGAGGTGTCATACTTCGACTGTGCCAGAACCTCTCGTACACGCTCGCCTTCGATCAAAGTCCCTGGTATCGATGTGTATCCGGGAACGTCTGACTGCGTCACAACGAGCACACTCGGAGTAGTGGGCTTGTCTGTGACCGCATTGATACTTCGCGTGAGCGCTGAGAGAGATGGAGTGTATGAGGACACCACAAAGTCGTAAACGCGCAACCCAGACTCTTTGTAATCTCCTGCTGCGTGCAGTGGTAACTGGGTTAGCGGTCCAGTGGGACACCACGTAACATGTGTAAGTGAGCCGGAGGGCGCTTTCTAGAGAGTGATATGTGAGTAAGATTGCATCCGCGAGAGCTGCAGAGAAACTCACAGGCCTGTATAGACCGAGGCCTTCCAGTATCGGTCGTACGATCCATCTCCAGATCCGACCAAGGATACGACGAGCCGATATTGTTTTCGGCAAAACAATCCATTTCAAGACCCGGCCAAGGATATGACGAACAAATATGGTTTTCTCGGCACGTGTATCGGCTTTCGGATCGTCCCTGAGCGTATCACGCTCTCGAGCATCGTGCAGATCGAGATACAACAGCCACCGTGACCGCAGGCCCATCGCTCTTTTCAAGGAGAGTTCCGGTAACGCCACGGCCTTGATTGTGCCATCCGCGAGTAAGATGACGGCGTCGCAGCGCATACGATCTGTGTTGAGGAAGACCACAGGCCCGCCGAAACGCATAGACGAGGGAAGCAATGCGGGAAGCTTCTTGGGAAGCATAAAGTCCTGGAACCCTTCGAGTTTGCGGATGCTCGAGAGTAGCTTGCCATGCTCGATGGCCAGGCCGCGTTGTATGTCCACACGGCTACGGCCCGAGCTTGTCATTGAATCATCTTGATCATTCGACAAGACAGCATCACGATGGGATGGTAAACAGATCGAGTTCTGCAGTCGGACGTGTACTTCGCTGAGAGCATGAGCGAGATCGGGATGGGCATGCTCGAGATCGCGAAGTGGGCTACGCAGTGATAGCGTCTGCGTCCATATAAGGGCTCTACCCGCTTCCAGCCATTCAAGGGCTTGTGTGATAGTATTGAAGCCAATGGCAGTACACACAGCAGAGCTGACAAGCCGACCAAGTTCTTGTGACTCTTTCAAACGGCGTTCCATGGTATGCCCAGGCCATACAAACTCGGGGATGATGTCGAGAATGCGAGAGTGCAAAGGAATCAGTCTGTCAGACGTACTAAACTGCGTGTGCTCGTGGAAAAGTTGAATGACACCCTTGCATGTTCTAAGACGTAAGTGCGGCGGGACTTCTGGCCGTGATGTGGCAGCCATGAAACAGTGTAAAGCACTATCAAGAGCCTCCTCCGCATTCCCTCTGAGGAACTCGGATAAAAATGACATGCCCAGACTATTCAGCCGCCATGCTTTCTGGGAATGTCCATCAGGAGTCAGGTCGTTCGCATGCTGTAGGTTCGCAATGGCACTCTCAATATCCTCGAGCTTTCCGAAGCATCTGAAACGAAGTAATTGCAACGAGCCGAGGTTTTCGAGCAGATTTGGCAGGTCGGGATGGCCGTTCGGGGTAAGTTTTACTGCGCGGAATTGCGTCGTAATGGCCCGCTCGAGGTCGGCAGGGCCGTCGAGACGCTCGAAACGACTGCGCAAGGAGAGTGCGAGGTTGTGAAGCCGGGCGGCTTTGTCGGGATGATCATCTGGAGTTAGCTCGTTTGCGTGACACTGTCCTGCAATGGTGCTCTCCAGGTCCTCGAGTGCTGCGAAACGTATGAAACGAAGCAACTGCAAAACACCGAGGTTGTCGAGGTGATCTGGCAAGTCGGGATGGTCATTCGGGGTAAGTTCGACAGCGCGGCGTTGCGTCGCGATAGCCTGCTCGAGGTCGGCCGGGTCGTCGAGACGCTCGAAACGACTGTGAAAGGACGATGCGAGGTTGTCCAGCCTGGTAGCTTTGCTGGGATGATCATCAGGAGTCAGCTCGGTTGCACGCTGTTGATTCGAGATGGCACTCTGAATGTCTTCAAGCGCTCCGGAGCGGCTGAAACGCAGCCACTGCAAAGAGCCGAGGCTTTCGAGTGGATTCCGCAGGTCGGAATGGTCATTCGGGGTAAGTCCGGCTGCGCGGTGTTGCGTCGTGATGGCCCGCTCGAGGTCGGCAGGGTCGCCGAGACGCTCGAAACGACTGCGCAAGGAGGATGCGAGGTTGTCCAGCCAGATAGCTTTGTCAGGATGATCATCTGGAGTTAGGTCGTTTGCACGACGTCCATTCGAAACAGCGCTCTCGACGTCTTCGAGCTGTCCAAAACGTTTGAACCGGAGGTCCTGCAAGCACCCCAGGTTGCCGAGCCTCGTTGGCAGGTTTCGATCGTCATCTGGAGTAAGCTCGACAGCGCGGCTCTGCATCATGATGGCCCGCTCGAGGTTAGGGATGTCGTCGAGACGCTCGAAACGACTGCGCAAGGACCATGCGAGGTTGTGCAGCCGTCTAGCTTTGCCGGGATGATCATTAGGAGTCAGCCCGTTTGCACGCTGTCGATTCGAAACGGCGCTCTTGAGATCTTCCAGCTCTCCATAACGATCGAAACGAAGTTGCTGCAAGTACCCCAGGTTGTCAAGCCTCCCTGGCAGGTCGGGATCGTCATTGGGAGTAAGCTCGACTGCACGTAGTTGCATTTCGATGGCGCTTGCGAGGTCGTCGATCGAGCCAAGGGATTCAAAGCGTTTTCGCAATGAAACGCTGACATTGTGCAGACGCAAAGCCCTGTCGGGGTGCCCATTCGGAACGAGTTGTAGGGCGCTTTGCTGCGCCACAATGGCCCGCTGAAGGTCTTCAAGGTTCCCTCGAGCCCTGTAATGTAAATGGAGACAGTACCCCAGCTCGCCTAGCAGGTACGCGTCCGGTTCGAGGGCGTCGTTCACAGCCTGTTGAAATAGCGTTATGGCGGTTTTTAGCTGTTCCACGTCCCACGTCTTTTTGTAAGAAGCGTATGCTTTCATCGCAGAGGCCACAACATTCGGTCTCGAGTTTCCTGGAAATTGAGATTGTGCGTCCGACAGGACCTGACGCTCGTCAGTCAAATCGACCAAGATTCCGGTTGTCAGAGAACTCACGTGCGGGGTACCGGCAATGTGCCCTCCAGTCGTACTAGATCCATCAGCCATCGTACGGAAGGCAACGGAAGCAACCTACGGCGGGAGATCGTTAGAGTCAGAACGGCGACATCGATGGAGAGCAAGGGACTCACAGTGAGCGCGCGGATGTGGGTACGGGAGGGGAAAGGAGAGCTATGCAACGAATTCCTCAGGAGGCTGCAATATGAGCTGCCGGTGAGAGTACTAGGAAACCGTTAGTGCGATGTGTGCGTGAGGGTTCGCGTGCTGGTACAGCCTCACAAGCGACTGCAGAACAAAGCCGTACGAACGTATGGTTGACTCTCGCAAGCGTTAAAAGGCGTATACGATCTCGGCGACCGATGGCGATTGTGAGGGACCACACGGTAAGAATATATTGCACGATCTGGAAGTACAGCGCAGGGGATATGCTGGTCTGTAAAAGCAGGCTGTGCACCAAGACACCTCTAACACGGGGCGGGTGGGCGGTGCACCGACACCGTTCGCTACTCTCAACGCCCCCTTCCCATCCGCACGTCTTGAGCCTCCTCGTTGTCCTGGCGCCCACAAGAATGCCAACTGCCTCGGTGCGTCGACAGGGGAAAGCGGTGGTCGCATCTGGCCCTCTGCGGAACCCAAGTATGACCACGATCGTAGATAGACGCCTTGCACAGCCTGCGAATCTCGCGGCAGAGGGCTTCTGGTAGGCTTTCCACGCTCAAACAATTCGAGTCTGGCCTGTGATTATATTAGTAACCAAGATGGGATGGGTATGCTGGCAGTATACGCACCTCTCTGCCTGTCCGGCAACCCGTGCACCCCTTCAAATGCCAGTGGGCGCGGAGTACTCAATCAATTATCGAACAGATATAGTCTTGTCATTGGTCTTTCAAACACCAAGAAATGACATTTTATGTTGCATCATGGTGGCAAGAGGCAACGCGCTCGGACGACGCGCCGGCCTGGCCCTCTTGCTCTCGGACGACGAGGATGCAACACGGACGCGCGCTCTCCACCAGATAGCTTCACGTCTCTTCCTTCAGACCATGCTGCGCCTACCTAGTTAACTTTGTGATGGCTGCCTGTTGACAATATGCACTCGGCACGCTGCGTCAGACGGTAAACATCCAAGACGACTCAGCCTCCGGTCGCTACGCCTTGTGACGCACGAGTAACTTTAGCATAGGACGCATCGGATGGAAGGAAAAGCGATGAGATATTGGAGGTCTACAATTAGATGTTTGGCTGAGGGAAACGGAGAGCCGGCGTTACGGCCACACGGACGGATACATAATTCAGGCGCTAGGGTACGTCCCCTTCCAAGAGAACGATGGCACTTCGCTAATGATGTCGCAGGGTTCTATACTATGCCGAACATGGTCACCTTTGAACGCCTTCAGCGTATCATCTTGACCGTATCCCCCGCTCTCGACTACCTCAAGACTGTACAATACTCGTCGACACTACAAGACCACCTTCCCGCGCCTGGACTTACCGTCCATGTCATGTCTACCCGAATCGTTCTCCCCATGTAACCAGACTTCAGTTCTCTTGATTACACCTCCCGCATTCCCTGCCCTGCATTGTCCGCCGCCGATGTACATATTGCTCCGACCTTTCGCTCACGCGCGGACTTATGAAATCAACATATATGGTAAACCGCGTGCGCATCCTGTGGAAACCGTTCTCCTCAAGCACATCAGTAGGTCTGTAACTCGCTTTTCGAGTTGCAAGTCCGGGTGTGAGTGCTGCGACGTAGCCTGCCGTCGCTCGAAAGGCATTGTGCGAATGACTGGGCAAGCTGGGTCAGTATGAAAGAATGGAGCGAGGCACGCTCTTATATATCGACTGCACGGGCGGACTTGCGATTGGCAAGACGATGTACATAAATATGAAGACCAGTTACGCCTCATGTGCGCCGAACGATCACGCTCTAGGTGTCAATAGTCTCGAAGCTTCACCCTGTATCCAATATGACTTTCACCCGCATGTCCGCGATCCTTGAGCCTTGCCGCCAAGCTCGTTGATCACGGCGTACGAGCACTGTTTGCTCTCATGTACCCGCATAGCTCGCACGTACTGCAACAGCCTCCGGACTCGGTGCTATCTCGTACTCATGCGGCCTGCTTCGAGATTCGCAGGACGACGATGTTGATTATTTTTTATGCTCTGGGCTTCCTCTTGTAAGCGGCGATCACCTATACTTGCAGCATTTGCTGGTGCTGCTGTCTACTCATCACGATCCTTCACTTATGCGGGCGACGTCTCAGACCGATTATCTTGGTTGCGCACGCCTTCATTCCGCTCTTCAAGCTTCAAGGCCGAAAGGATCGCTCAAGACATCTATTTCCCCGTACGAACAGTAAGTCTAGCTACCGAACCACCGCGCACAAACGCTATTGATATCCATTACCGCCTAGCAAGTTTGACGCTCCTTGCACCTCGCACGCGCCCGCATCCGATGCACTGCGAAGCGCGTGAACCAGATTCAAGCGCGACTGAAGCGCTTGTCGCGCCGTGAACGTCGTCGAACAGAGAGGGTGTCGTATTAGGGACAGGACTCGGTCGTGCCGGAAGCGTTGGATGCGGGCTTAAGTCGGCGCTATTCACTTGAACGAGGTCGAGTGCGCGCGACAGTGATGGTCGAGATGCGCGTATGAGCTCATCGTGCGTTGAAGCTGCATGCGTAGAGCTGCATGGTTGGCTCTCGTCTCATAGACTATGTAAAGGATGTCAGGAGCGAAAGGGAGTATTAGGTGACGAGCGTACATTAGAGGCGATAGAGTCAAGACGCTGCAGGGCACGCGCGGAGATCTCGCCAACGGGCCGCTGGCTAGAACAGCTTGAGAGGCATGAAAGTGCAGTGTCTGGGTTCGAAGCGTTCAAGCAGGTATACGCGATGTCTGAACCGGTTGATCAGCAGAGGGTCACAGTGTACAGGTAATAGAACCCACCTCGCCTCGAGTTGCTAGTCCCTGATCGTAGACACGAATCATTCAGAGTTGCAGCGGTCCGAGGAAGCGCTTGTCCAAGCCTGAGAGAGCCCGGTTGGATTCGCGAGGGCGGTCCGTAGCTAGGGAGACAGAACGAACGCTGTATGCATCGCACGAGAGGCGGTATCTTGTGATGCATATCATGCGCGTTCGCTCTGCAATGGGGGAGTACGGTGGCATGTAACAGTCAAAAGGAGGTCGGGCGCAGCCTGATGTGAGGCCGCCGGACGAAACCGGCTCGCCGGGCCACTCAGCGGCAGTCCGTCGAGACCAAGCTAGCGCTGGTGCGCGTATGAGTGCGTAGCACCTATACATATTGATCAGTGTATGAACTCGGTAAAGCCAGCCGTGAAGACGCACTTGGCCGCCAGTTGCCTATACTTGACGCCGATCGCCGACCGCACCTCCTAGATACGACTCATTCACGGTCGTGAAAAGCTGCAGCGTATAGTCCGGGTAGGTGCCCGTTCGCCCGAGGGTCCCGCGAAGCGAGCTGATCATGGAGGGTGTATGCCCCACGAAGATAGGCCATACAATGCAGCTTGCACCGCCTTCCACGTTCACGCCGAGCTGGCACTAGAGAGTAGAGGATATGGTTGAAGATGGGTACGGTGCATGGTGAGAGTAAGTGAGCAAGGTGAGAGTTGCGCGGCGCGCGCGTCTTGAGTCCAAACTATGAATAATGACGGCAATGTCAGGAGTTGCCTCTTACCGTCGATGGCTTGGCTATTGAGTGGCCGCTGGTCTTCTGCCAGCTCTCGGGAGCGTCACACACCAGCACGTACCTTTAGTGACTAGAAGTGAGGCGATGGATGTGATGTGTGGTCCATGCGGGAAGGATATTGGAAGCGTAGCATGCATGTTGTATATGTTCAAAGTAGTGCGTGCTCGATTCCACTCTTGACTTGGCTATCCGCTGACTAGGCGTCCTTCACAGGTTCAAACACGCACTCGTCTTCATGTCGATATGATAAACTTTCACGAACGAATGAATATGATCCTTATCCCGATCCTAGCCTAAATGCCGCGCAATCTACACATGTTCACCAAAGACCACTATATCGAAGATACATTTCCAGTCTACATTTGAAAACACAAGAACACATTGTCATGAACCCGATTCAACAGAACTATTCCTTCTACTCATATCCCGAAGTGCACGAACGGCGCCCACCGCACGACGTTCTTCTCCCCAACCTTTTCTCTCAACCGCCTAGCCGCCTCGTGCAATGCGTACGCGGCGCCTGTCTGTCCTGCGCCGAGCGCTCCCGATGCGCGCAGCGCGAGAAGCTCCTTGTAGTACGCCTCGACGATCAACGGCGCGTCGTCATCCTTGATCGACCACATCGTCGCAACGACACCCTTATACCCCACGGCGAGCATGCCCGCTGCGAGGTGCATCGATTCCTCGGGAACCTTTTCGTCGCCGACAGCGGTCTGGCAGGCAGAAAGGAACGCGAGCTCAGCGTTATCGGCCGTGGTCACCATTAAATCCGATAGCGTCAGCCGGCCCTCGTGCAGCGCAAACGCACTCTTCAAGGGATCGTCAACCTCTTGACAGCCGTGGCATGCGAGATGCAACCAGGGATGCTTCTGGAGAGCAAGTCTCACGGCCCCAACCGTCGCCTCTTCGCCATTCAAAGCCGTAGAAGGTGTCTGAGAGGCGGCGAAGACCTCGCGCAGCCGAGCTCCTTCGAGCGTCGTACCCGGGAGTGATGATAACCCCGGTGTGTTGGGCTGCGTCACCACGAGGATCCCGGGCGTTGTGTGTTGCTGCGCGAGGGCATCGATGCTACGCGTCAATGCGGAGAGTGACGGCGTATACGAGGAGACCACAAAGTTGTACACGCGAGGCCCGGCATCATCGTCGTAGATCCCCGCTGCGTGCAGTGGCAGCTGCGTCAACGGTCCAGTCGGGCACCAAATGATGTGGGGAGGTCGGGCGCGGTCTGCATTCTACACAGTGTACGTGTCAGCTATAGAGAGAGAGTCCGTGGTCATTCCAACTTACGATAACGTCTAGCTTGAGTCCTTTCAGGATAGGGCCCACAATCCATCTCCAGAGACGATTCAAGATGTTGTGCGACGGAATAGTACTTCTAGATCGATGCTGCCATGGCGCTAAGAGGCCACGCTCGCGAACATTCTGCTGCTTGAGATACGCTTGCCATTGCGAGCGCAGTGCCTCTGCCTTAGCCAGAGAAAGTTCTGGCAAAGCGATAGTGATAGTCTTCCTGTTGGCAAGAATGATCAACGCGTCGCACTGAGTGCGATCTACATTGATGAAGACAATATGGCCATCGAGAGACGTAGAGGATGGCAGCAGAGCGGAGAGATGTTTCGGACGCATGAAGCTCTCGAAACCAGGCAGAGCGCGGACTTCAGCGAGAAGTTTCCCCTGTTTAATCGCGAGCCCTCGATGGCGATCTGACGGAGCCTGAAGGCCCATGTCTGACCTTTGGGCTGCTTGAGAAGCATCTGCGAGTACGAAAGCGATGCTCTCGGAAGACGTGGTAGCGGTGTTCTGCAGTCGAACGTGCACGTCGTTGAGAGCACGAGCGAGATCCGGATGAGCATGCTCGAGATCATGAAGAGGGCTACGCAGCGACAGTGTTTGCGTCCATATGAGGGTTCTACCCATATCCAGCCATTCAATGGCTTGGTTCCCAGCATTGACTCTGACGGCGACACACACAGCAGAACTGACAAGCTCGCCTAGCTTCTGAGACTCTTCTAGACGGCGTTGCATGCTGTGTCCGAGCCAGACGACCTCGGAAAGAACGTCAACAATGCGGGAGTGGGCGAGTAACAGCATCTCGGGTGTGCTGAACTCGGGGTTCTCATCGAGAAAATTTACGACATACTTGGCCGTAAGAAGACGCGAACTCGGCGGGTCTAGCGTCTGGGAGGCAGCAGCCATGTAATATGCCAGAGCTTCTGTAAAATGTTCCATCGTCTGGTCTTGCCGAAAGTAGGCCACCAGAGACATCGCCACATTGTGCAGCAGTGTAGCTTTGCTGGGATGATCATCCGGAGTCAGCTCGTTTGCACGCTGGTGATTCGAGATGGCGCTCTCGATATCTTCGGGCTCACCGAAGCGTCTGGAACGCAGCCACTGCAAAGAGCCGAGGTTATCGAGCCGATTTGCCAGGCCGGGATGGTCGTTTGGGGTAAGCTTCACTGCCCGGCGTTGCATCGTGATAGCCCGCTCGAGGTCAGCGGGGTCATCGAGACGCTCGAACCGACTGCACAAGGACAATGCGAGGTTGTGCAGTCGTTTAGCTTTGTCGGTATGATCATCTGCAGTCAGCTCGTTTGCACTCTGTTGATTCGAAATGGCACTCTCGATATCTTCGAGCTCTCCGAAACGTTTGAACCGCAGCCACTGCAAAGAGCCGAGGTTATCGAGCCGAATTGGCAAGTTGGGATGGCCGTTCGGAGTAAGTTTGACTGCGCGGTGTTGCGTTGTGATAGCCCGCTCGAGATCGGCGGGGTCGTCGAGACGCTCGAAGCGACGGTGCAAGGACTGTGCGAGGTTGTTCAGCCGTGTAGCTTTGCCGGGATGAACATCAGAGGTCAGCTCGTTTGCACGCTGTCGATGCGAAATGGAGCTCTCCAAGTCTTCGAGCGCTCCAAAACGTTGGAAACGAAGATTCTGCAAGTACCCCAGGTTGTCGAGACACGTTGACAGGTCGGGATCGTCATCCGGAGTAAGCTCGACTGAACGTAGTTGCATTTCAATAGCGCTTGCGAGGTCTTTGGTCGCGCCAAGGGATCCATAGCGTCTTCGCAATGACACGCTAAGATTGTTCAGACGCAAAGACCTGTCAGGGTGTCCGTCTGGAACGAGTTGTAGGGCGCTTTGCTCTGCCGCGATGGCCCGCTGGAGGTCGTCAAGGTTTCCTCGAGCCCTGTGATATAGACCTAGACAGCGCCCCAGCTCGCCTAGCAGATACGCATCTGGTTCGGGCGCTTCGTTCACCGCTTGTTGATATAGCGTTATGGCGGTTTTCAACTGGTCCACGTCCCACGTCTGCTCGTAAGCAGCATATGCCTTCTCCGCAGCGTCCACGTCGTCCTGAGTTGAGCTTCCCGGGGATCGCGATTGCGCGTCTGAAAGATCCTGGGCCTCGTCAGTCAAATTGGCCAGAGCAGCATAACATCCCGGCCATAGACAGACTGACCTCCGAAGTCCCGGTGATGTGCCTTTTATTCGTACTGGGTTTATTACCCATCGTCCAGAAGGCAGTCTACGGCGGGAGATAGTTAGTCTCAGTACAGCGACATCGATGAAAGAGGTGGCTCACAGCCAGCCGCGCGGGTGTGGGTACGGGAGGAGAAAGGAGAGCTATGCAACGAATTCCTCAGGAGGCTGCATATATGAGGTGCCGATGAGAGTGCCAGGACACCGTTAGTGCGCTGTGTGCGTGAGGGTGTTCGCGTGCCAGTACAGCCTCACATGCGACTGCACAACAAAGCTGTACGAACGTCAGTATGGCTGACTCTAGCGAGCCTGAAAAGGCGTATGCGATCTCAGCAACCGATGACGATTGGGAGGTCCAAACGGTAGGAATATATTAGACAATGTGGAAGTACACCGCAGGGAATATGCTGGCCCGTAAAAGCAGGCTGTGTATCAAGAACCGTCTAACACGAGGCCGATACGTATGCGGTGCAAGGACACCGATCGCTACTCTCGACGTCTCCTTCCCATCCGAACGTCTCGAGTCTCCGCATTGCCCTGGCGCCGCCAACTGCCTCGGTGCGTCGACGAGGAGAGAGGTGGTCGCGGCGGACACTCTACGAGACCCAAGTGCGACGACGGTCGTAAATAGACGCGTAGCACAGCCCGCGAATCTCGCGGCAGAGGGGTTCTGGCACCGCGTAGGCCTTGAGCGCTCGAACGATATGAGGTTTGGCGCCAATCCGTCGCAGATAAGGTGCTGTAGACCCTTGCAGGCCGAGCGTGTACCATGATGAGAGGCGCGGGTCAAGCGCAGCGGTGCAGGGTGCTTTGTAGGTCGATGTGGTAGGATACAAATATGCCTTGAGTCTGTAGTTAGATTAGTACCCGAGATGGGACGAGTATACTGGCGGTATGCGCACCTCTTTGCCTGCCCGGCAGTCCCTGCACCCCGTCGAATGAGCGCACGGCACTCGATCGCTTATCCCACAGATAGTCCAGTCATAGGTCTCTCAAAGACCACGGAATGATACACAATCCAAGTGGCCATCATGGTGGTATTTGCCAACTGTTGCGCGACGCGACGCGTCCGATCCGAGCTGCGGACGCAGTGCGGACGGCCGACAGCGGCCGACTGCTCTTTGCTTTCGGTCCACGATGAGCTCGAGGACGGACTGCGTCATGGGTCTCCTCTCTCACAAGTGCATCCCCGCATCTCGATACTTTGGCTACGGATAGAAGGAAATTGGCTGGGATGTCACTGTCGTGGCATAGAGGCCTTTGCTGCAGGTTGGTAGCACCTACATTAGGTACACGGTCTTTCCGCACGACCCCGATCTACTTGCTGACACTGCCATAGAGCCACCTGTACATCTATACCATACTCATCAGTTTCATGAGACCTTATCGAGCGTCACCGCCGATGAACTTTCCGCCCGAAGCATCAAACCCGAGTCGTATACTCGTTCAACACGCAAATTCGACGCAATAGTTACTCTGAATCCCACCCCAACATGAAAATCAGGAATCGATGCAAGATGTGCAAAGCTACAGAGGCCTATACAACAGGAGGCGCAAACAGTATGTCTCTTCGAATCCCGTGATGCACAAACGGCGCCCACCGCACGACGTTCGTCTCCCCACCTCTTCCCTCAACACCCTCGCCGCATCGTGGATAGCGTACACCGTACCCGTCTGGGCGTTCCCCAGCCTACCCGATGCACGATGTTCGAGAGTACGCATCGGGCCCGTCGTCTTCTCGGATCGACCACGTCATTGCGACGACACTCTTGTATCCGACGGCCAGCATACCCGCTACGAGGTACATTGACTCCTCCGGGATCTTCGCGTCGCTGACAGCTGTTTGGCAAGCGGATAGAAATGCGGGTCCTGCGTTCTCCGGCGTCGTCGTCATGAGGTCGGCGCGCGAGAGCAGCTCGTCGTGTAGCGCGAAGGCGCTTGTCGACCTGTTCACAAGATCTTGAGTGCCATGACACGCCAAATGTAGCCAAGGATGCTCACGTAGGACGAGCCGTACGGTGCTGGTGGATGCCTAGCTTCCGATGGGCGTGGGTGAGTTGATATGAAGGACGAAGAAAGCCTTGCGTAGTCGTGGTAATAGTTGTCGGCTCTCGGCTTTTGCCCTAGGAGCAGTGGACAAGTTGGACAGAAATAGTGTGTATGAATATACGAGAAAGTCGTAGAAGTGTGGGCCTGGAGGCTTGATGTGGTCCCTCGCTGCCTGTAGTAGCAGCTGCACAAGCGCCCTGTAAACCGATTAACGATAGTTGACAGACGTCCCCCGGGGCAGGTAGCACTGAACTCGCACCTAATACCAGTACACGTCCGACTTGAGGCCGGCGGGCGGTGCATCCACACCCCCCTCTACTCTCAATGCTCTCTCGCCTCATGTTGGTCCAACTTCGTGTACTGCCCTGACGTCCATGTGAACGTGGACTACCATGAGGCGAGGGGCGAGAACGAGCACATTCGGCGGGACCCGAGTAACACCGCGGTCGTGAATAGAAGCGTAGCACAGCCTGCGCACTCCTCAGTATGAGCTCTAAGCGCTTAGCCGGCGTTCGTGAGCGGTACCGCGCCGGCTTGAACGTCACGCTCGATTCGTGGCCGGCACTGCAGTATTTGCCATGACCCGGCATCAAAACTCGAGTGAGGAGGCGCGCGAGCCAGGTGCGAGGTGTGAAACCTGATGGTTGATCAGTACCAGTACCCGACACTAAATGCGCTGGAGCTGAGCGCGTACCTCTTTCCTCGCGCGCAATCAACTATCACCGACGTATTTCCTGGTGCGTCTCGAAGTCAAGCCGCCCGCTACCATGAGCATAATGCGTATTCGGATTTGTCTATCAGATTCTGTCAGGAACGGAACCCGATTGGACGCAGAGTCACGTACCTAGCATGGTGCCGTAGCCAGAGACAGTCCTGCTGTAAAGGAAGAGCACACTGTTAGTTGGCGATCGCGAACGGCCTCTGCGAGAATCGTAGGACGCGAGTAGTCCATGATAAATATAAGTATTGCATTATTGTCATGGTGGGGAGAGACAACTGACGCGCGCTCGCCTTCCGGCCAGACGCGTCTCGGACGCGACAGCCTTTGCGCTCGACTCTCTTCCTTGTACCTCGACCATCACGACGAGACATCTCATCTTCCGATCCTACCCGATCCGACTCCCGCATACCGCGAAGAGTAATTCGATGGCAACACAAACCCTAACGTCTACAATTTCCTACCCGTTCCTCGACGTTCACGACCAGATCCTCGCACACCCACACACCTTGCGATATTACTCGTCCCGTTCTGGATGCTGAAGTTAGCTGGATCCCGGCG